CCCTTTATATTGCCGCCCTGCCCAACAGATCCACGCCGGAGCGACAGAACTGCGCTAACAGTTTGGCGAACCCCCCTTTATTGCTATTTATTATTATCATTATTACTTTTTTTTTATATTTTTTTTGTAAACATTACCCAATACAATTACTAAAAAGGAAATCTAGCAAATCCTCCCGTTCCTTGGGTAAAATTCAACGAAATAAAGTTGACCTGATGCCAGGCGCCACTTTGTGTAGTGAAGCCACCTTGCACTAAGCAACTAATTGAATCTATCACGCGAGGAAATAGATTTATTTGTACCATAAGTTGAATTCGTTTTGACTCTGTACCATTACATTTGCGCTATACTATTATCGTTATATATATTTCGCGTTGGGAAAAATAAACAATTTATTCTGAGAGGGCCATTCACCCCCCATCCATCAATCTACTCAACCCTATAGCAAACAAAAAAAAATCATCTACTTTCAAAATTACTTTAATTGATTCTCGGCTGGGTTGTTTGTCACAATAAGACAATTGCAGAGCGCATCGTATGCCTCTTATCGATATAGCTCCAACTCTTTACTTTACTTGCGAGTCCCTACTACTAAGTATATGGTATTAGTTCTAGATTCTTTGTAAATATTCATGAAATAAAAAACTTTCTCATCAGACAAACTTAGCAGGTTCGGTTATTAAAAAGAGAACAGACACATAGCTTTGAAAGGCGTTAACATTTCTATTCCAAGTTGTAATTTAGAAATCTTAAGGGGATCATAAAAAAATAGTAAACCATAACCTGGATGTTTTTTGTACACATTGAAATACTTCGCAGCTAAGGAGCTGTATATATATATATATATATGTGTTGAAATTGGTTAACATTGGAGATGACAAGATGAAATTAAAAATTAGAATCACAAATTGAAATCAAACTTTCACTGTTCACTGTTTTCTTGTGAACTGCATTTGTAACTTCAGACAGACAACCTGAAATGCTGGTATAGAGTAGTCAAGCAAATCAAGGAAAGGCACCTGTTATTATAACTAATTGTTTAGGAGTGGAAGAAAAATTAAATAATTTCTAATTCTTTTTATGGTGTTTTTCACATTCTCCACAGAGTTTTTAATACATACGAACGTTAATTCCGATATATGCTTCACTTACTTGTTAAAATTGATAATAAAAACAAATACTCGGTATAGGAAATAATGCCTAAAAGAAAAAGACGAGATTTTTTTCCAAAACACTAAATTCAACTTTATGTGTATATGAAGCTACCTCGATCCCTTAATTTTCTAGACAATTGATTTGAACCTTTCTTCAACGGTGGAGTTTCATCACGCATTGAATTTATATCACGTTCAGTTAGTATGCGACGTTTCAAGCGAGCTTCATTTTATAAAACAAAAAATTTATTTGGAATTAAGCAGAAAGTTGCTTGGTGTGTTCATTAATATATTTACGTCTGGGTTCTTGTTAGACAACTGATTCTAAAAAAAAATCTTGTGGTGTCATGTATAATTGCCCGTCATATTCACTGGACGCAAACTTGATAAAACGTCTTTCACGTGCTGTTAATTTGCTTATTGTTGAATCTTCATCATACTGCAATAAATTTGAAAAAAGGATTAATACAGTGAGATATGGCTCACTATTAAATACCTTGCACGACTTCGCTTAATACAGTTATTCATAGAACGGCTTTTGGAAATAGGATTTTATATAAATGGACGAAAATGGGAATGACTAAATGGTTTCCAGCATTTAAGCTGTTCGACAAATTTGACGTCAATTATTCTACATGTCATTAACATCAGTTTTGTACGGCAGCCTTTGACAAGAGCTTGTATAGAAGTTTATTCTATCTGGAAAAGTATTCACCTTTGAGTGTCTCATATTAAATGTTTTCACTGAATTAGTCCCGGATTTGAATAAATTTATGCAAATGATCGCAGTCGCACCGCCGCCAATAATCCATAAATATTTTCCATAAGTTTTTGAGGGTTGATGCGTTGTGTTGTTTTCGTAACCGTAATTACGTTGCACATTTTTAAGATTTCTATTTACATTAATTAAACCTTTTGCAGCTAAAAATCTTTTGCAAAAATTCGCTGCCATTTTCGGAAAAATTGAAAACAATAACCATATGTTTTTTCCAATAGGGTTGTTAAGCTTCTACAAACTTTTACATTAGTGCGCAGTTTTTATCTAAAAATTTCCCCCTCTTTTTTTTCCCCCAAAATATTATATTATCCGTACAAGAACACTGTAGTTTTTACTGGAAGGGACGCTAACTTGCTAGCTAAACAAGTGACTATTTTTCTTATGCTACCTTCGCTTCAAACGTAGATCGCGTAGATGTATGTATAGGTATGCAAAATTGTGTTATCACAAAAGTATTACATTTTAGCAGCGTATACATATAAAAATACACATATACACGCATGTATGCATCATTGATGGTTGTAATAGAAATCATTACTACAGGATTACATATGTACATGTATACGTCTAATAGGGTAGTTTTGTTGGGCACTACTTTGTCATGTTATAGCTGCCAACTTTAACCACTAAAAGAAGAAAATTTTCCCTTTTTTTTTTCTTTAATTACTTTTACAAATTTCTTTAATTATTTTAAACTTTATACTTGGGTTAACTATTTCGTTGGGCGCCACTTTGTCAAGATATACATGGCGACCAACTTTAATCAAAAGGAAAAAATTTCCCTTCTTTTCTTTAATTAATTTTTTTTTCTTTAAAAACAAATTTTCTTTAATTAATTCACAAATTAGTACAAGATTTTTTATGAGGTCACTTCTCGTTGGGCGCCACTTTGTCATGTGTTATAGCTGGCGACCAACTTTAATCAAAAATTGAAAAAATCCACTTTGTCATGATTCTGCGGCCAACGTTGATCAATAAACGAAGAAAAAGGTTTTCCTTTTTTTTTTCTTAATTAATTTTTTTAAAACTTTTCCTTCAATCAATTTAAAAATTATTACAAAATTTTTTTTTTTATGCGGTTTCGTTTTGCGTTGGGCGCCACTTTGTCATGTTATATGGCGACCAACGTCTATTACACCTAAATAATTATGAAGGCTGAATTTAAATTATTTATCCGAGTTACCAGCTTTCGTTGGGCGCCACTTTGTCATGCGACCAACGTTGATCAATACGAAAAATTTTTATACTGGGTTTTACAGGCGTTGGGCGCCACTTCGTCATGATTCTATGGCGACCAACTTTAATCACTAAAAGAAAACAGATTTTATGCTAGGTTGCTTTTCGTTGGGCGCCACTTTGTCATGAGACTCGTTACTTTCATTGCCGGCTGAGTATTTGTCTTTTTCTGACAAAGAAATAAAAATAAAATAAAAAGAAAAGTCCCGTCGGTTGTCTGCCGTCTGTCTGTCCACTGTAAGTCAGTCGGTCGTCGTCTGGCGTCGGCCCTACATATGCACACCCCCTTTCTCCTTTCAGCTACAGCGGTGGCAGCTGTAGCGCTTAACTACTCATCGGGGACACAAAACAACAGGGGAATAAATAACTAAAGTAACTTACAATACAATCCTCTCGCGATGTCGTGGCTGTCTCCTTCGGCGGCTCCTGTCCACGGCAAGGAAGTAGGAAGTTCGTCTTACGTCGTCGGCACAATCACAACACAGCTGGGATGTAAGTGCATGTGGGTGCACGTAGTTCATAAGCTACTGGAAAAGTATTCTTCTTCCTCCTAACACATCTTGATTGAGGCAAACACATTGTTCCTTGTTTTTTTTTCTTTTGTTTTTTTTCGATCATTTATTAAACGCACGAATGAAAGATAAAATGTAATAATAGTTCAGGTGGACATCAGTGCTACAATCAAGGCATTTAGGTAGACATTTTTTTGTTTCACAATCATTTGTTTATACATGCCAGATTCGCTTATTTTTATAACTTATTGGAGTGTATTTTTTTTCTTTACAATTTATTAAATGCGCTTGGCTATTTCTTTTTATTATAAAACATTGTTCTGCTAAAACTTTCCACAATACTTCATTAATACTTCGCAACCATTTGTTTATGAAGGTCACCTTTAACCAATAATCTTCTACGTTATTCACTTGATAAGAAACCCTTTTGCTTCTTGTTCGACAAAAAAAACGTATTCAAAGAACGGTGCAGCCATTACCCTTGCCTTGATTCTCTTATGCTTCTTCTAATTGTTCCACCCTTTTTTCCTTTTCTTTAATAAAAAAACGGTTTAGACTTCATTTTTGTGGTTTAGCTTTTGCTAATTTTAACTAAAGACACATTGACGTCATTCACGTCGCTTTTGTCGCTTTACTTTGAGGTTCTAATTAACATTTATCCTTCTTTTGAGGTGTTGATTAAAATTTATTCTTTCTTCTGAACTTCGATATTTTTCGAGTTAATTTATTTCAAACTTCAATTGCACAAAATTTTTCTTTCGCGTATTTTTCTATTTATTTCTTTTCTTTTGACATTTTTTTTATGGTCAATTTGCAGTTTGAGCCCATATTTCAGAAAAACGAAAAAAAAACAACCACTTCATGTAGCTTTCGGTTTTTAATTAATTTTTTTTCTTTTTCCTTTCTTTTTTTTCTTTAATGAACTTTTTTATTGTATTGATAATTAATTATTTATGCTGGTTATCGTAATGCATACTTCCTTGTACATTTCAATATTCACAGTCAGCTAATGCTAGTCCTTTTTATTACCCTTGAGGGATAGTCTTCACAATTATTTTTTATTTATCCGTTTTATATTGAGCTCGAAAGCCTGTCCGAACTTCACCAGATGCCAAACAGTTCTCTACGCTATCTTGAAATTAAAAAGCAGACAGACTTCTCATTCTTACTCAATTTCCCTCTTCTTCTTCCTGTTGCTCTCTCTATAACGGCTTGCCGCTACTCTCACAAGAGCAAGCATAGATCCCGCAAAATCATACGATTTTGCCTATGCTTGCAAAAGCAAAAGGAAAAAAAAGGAGTACCGCAACATCATACGATTTTGCCTGTACTTGTAAACAAGGAAATCAGAGAAGAGTAAAATTAACATATCCCGCAAGATCATGTGATTTATAAACAGTACTACAAAATCGCATGATTTTGTCTAACGGCATGCCGTTATTCCGATACTTGCGGTTGATACAGACCGACAGACACCCTACCCAAGGTTTGTTCGCGGCCGTTACAGATGAAAATTGTTTCGAAGTTAAAGTTTCGAATTATGCCTCAGCCACCAAATGCCGAAATGATGGCTATGGTGGTGTTAGTATATTAGTTAAGAAAGGTGTCAATTTCAGACGTATTCCCTATAACTCTGCCGTTGACATCATCATCATCAAAACCATCAACCTGAAACCGAATCTTTTCATAGCCTCATGCTACTTTCCACCCAGTCTCGCAAACCTTTCGTGATGAGATTCAGAGATTATGCGACTTTCTTGACGGTGAACAAAATATGATTCTAGCTGGAGATTTCAATGCAAGACACCGCCTGTATGGCGATCAAGTCTCTACCACCAAAGGCAAAATCCTTGTAAATGCCATCAATTCCAGCAATTTCAGTGTCTTAAATAACGGCAATACTACCTTTCACTGTAACCGGAGCAGTCGCACGGCGAGCAGTGTCTTGGATCTAACTTTCTCGAACTCAACTATTTTACCTTTCAACTGGAGCACGTCCAATGTTTCCATTGGTAAAAGTCAGCACTCCCCCATTATATTCCACAGTTGTAACAATTCCGTCAAGAAAATAGAAAATTTCATTTCACGCAACTTCCTTATGGACCGTCTGTCTAAAGTTGATCTTCCTTCTGATTTATCATCAATTCAAAGTGCCTTTCAGTCTGTGATCATGTCTGCTAGAACCAACTTCCCTGACATTGAGTCCTTCTCACCTAAACCTTGGTGGAATCCTTCCCTGTCAACACTTTTCCGCAAATACCAAGCTGCAAGAAAAAAAATGAGTAAATATGCCAATCCAGCCAACTACATTGAATATATGAAAATACTGAAAGAATGGAGGTCTGCAGTTAGAAAGGCGAAAAGGGCACATGGAGCCATCGCTATTAAAGAGTTATGTGGTAACGGCAACCCACGTTCCTTCAGGAATTATATCAATGGTCATCGACATTCTAGTTGAAAATTAAGCGGTTGTGCTGTATGGAATGACCCTGATAATAAAAAATACTTAGATATGCTCCAGAGCTACATTCCAATTGTTAATCCTATTACAATGCCTTCAATTCCTTTTAGTAGTATCAGTAACACACCCTTTTCATTGCATGAGCTAATGTATGTTTTACATTCCAGAAAGAGAGCTACTGCTGCAGGTTGTGATGGAGTCAAGTATGACATGATCAGAGTACCGTCTGGAGGAAGTTTTAGCATGCTTTTGCATGCAATTAACAACTGCTGTTCCACCAACTTTTTACCCTCTGATTTGCGTCAAAATAGTTCCCATTCCCAAGCCAGGTAAAGACTTAAATGATTTAAGTAGCTTCAGACTAATTTCACTAATATCTGTATTCATAAAGACCATCAACCTCATGGTTAAGGAGAGACTAACTGCTTTCCTGAAAACTAAGAACATTATTCCAGCTCGGTCTTACGCCTATCAAAAACGCAAATCTACGAATATGTGCGTTAATGAACTGTGTTTTCTCATAGCCAGCTTAAAAAAAGCAGGGAAAATGGTTGTCATGCTCTCCCTGGACATCAGCAAAGCCTATGACTGTGTCAACTTGATTAAGCTCGGTAGAATTCTCCTAAACTTTTCGATTCCTTTTCAAATGTGGCTGTGGATACTTATTTTTTATCCAAGCGTGTGTTGGTGATGGGTACCGAAAAAGCTGAAATTTGCGGTGGTATCAAAAACTTACATTTTTCAATATGCAGACGATTTTCTAATCGTATCTGCGGACTCATCTTTTCCAGCAGCTGTCAATAACTTCTCGATGAAAGTGAACGTGTTTTTCGATGCATGCGCTAATCTTAATTTATATTTTAACCCCAGCAAGACAAACACTATCTATTTTGCCAAAGGTTCTAAACGTGAAATCAGACTTCTTATCAAAGGTACTCAAGTTAATCAGGTAAAATCTCTTCGATTTC